TACATTACAAGAGCCATACAATAAGCAAACCAAAATAAATGTCTCATCTCTTTCAAGCATAAAATACCAACGGACATTCATGAGTAATGAGAACGCTACGGTTGTAAAGGGGTATACTTGCCTCTCTGTAGAACAAATCTGAGTTATTGTAGACATCATAAGCCAGAAGATTAGTCTGCGTCCCCACTAAAAGAGCATCATACCCAAGTTCTGGGTTCAGGGCTCCTGCGGTCAGGCAGCTGACTGCCTGGTTAATGTTGAGAAGCGAAACATCGGACTCCAGGGGGCTCTGGAAGACCCTGGAGGTACTGAAATGCTGGCTCCGGGTATGAGGATTGTGAATAAAAACCTAAAACAGAAACAGTTAATTACATCCCCTTAAGATACCAAAAATGTAAAATTAACATACATTTTTTAAGAGACCCAGGGTATTAACAGATATCAACACTAACAAGAGGTTACTTTAATCACCTACAAAACCTGAAACACTCATACATAGTTCTGTGTATTGCTAGATTTCAATCACTAGGAACTGTGGAAACCCAGTGGTTCTCAGCCTTCTCGAGAACAAGGTAATGGACCAGATGTAGTTGTTGCTCACCAGGGCAGCTTATCTGCTACCCACCAGCAGGACGTCAAGCACTCTCACAAACTAGCCTCCTCTTGGTCAACCTTCAGGAAGCGCTTCCAGCTACAACGTGATTGTTTCACACTAAGACGATCCCATAACATACAGTAATAAACACTTCCTGTGGTATCTTTCATCCAAGCACCTAATACATTCACTTCCTAACCCTTAAAATTGGTTGTTTCAGGAGCGCCTGGCTGGCTTATTGGAAAGAGCATGTGACTCTTGATCTTGGGGTTGTAAGTTCAAGCCCCATGTTGGGTATAGAGATTACTTAAATAAAACTTAAAAAAAAAAAACCTGGTTGTTTTAAGAGTTAAAATATATAGTTTTAAAGTCTGGTTGTTCATAGATCTGTTTTACAAACTTAAACTGAGTCATGTGGTCAAGCTTTTTCAAGGTTTCATGGTCTATACTAGTAAGACAGAATTAAATAATTAGTCCAAACTTAATTAACTTAGCAGTTCCAACTCTCATAGATATAATCACCCCAAGAGGGGTCACTGTTTGTGGGGTAGGAGGATGTTAGATATTAAAATGGCTTGTGACCCTCCCAAAGGGCAAAGTACAAAACCAGACATGCAGCATATCTCTGGTATTAAAATTTCATTAGGGAAATCTTCCCTGTCTAAAAAATGCAAAGTAAAAAAGGGTGGGAAACACTGTACTAGAGATCGCTTAAACCTCTTCCAGTTTTAGGGGCGCCTGGGTGGCTCAGTCGTTAAGTATCTGCCTTCAGCTCAGGTCATGATCCCAGGGTCCTGGGATCGAGCCCTGCGTCGGGCTCTCTGCTCAGCGGGAAGCCTGCTTCTCCCTCTCCCACTCCCCCTGCTTGTGTTCCCTCTCTTGCTGTGTCTCTGTCAAATAAATAAAATCTTTAAAAAAACAAAACAAAACCTCTTCCAGTTTTAAAATTCACTGATTTTTAAATAAGTATTTCATCCCTTCAATAGAAATCCAAAGATTAATTTTAAGTTATTATCTAAACAGACAGCCTGCTCAACAACAAATAATTTCCAAAGGAATTGATTAGAAATATACAGAAAAGGTACATAACTATGGAATATCGTGTTGATGTCCTCATTTGTGTAATACTTTACAATACGCTTTTATAAACGTTACTGCATTTGATCCTCACAACAAGCCCTGGTTTACAGATGAGGTCAGAAGGGCCAAGGCCCCTTCCCAAGGTCTGGTGACTGGTAAGTGAAGAGGGCTAAGACCTGACACCTGGCATCCAGTTCCAGAACCTGCACTCTAGCCACCATGTCTTACTTCCTTTTAAACAGTTCGGATAGCGGATGTATCGGAACAAAAGAATTCTTTCAGAGTCTTCCAGTAATTAGACAGGCTGAGGGAGAACAGGAAGGGAAATCACTTATGGACTTCATATTCCCTGCTCATTGGAAAAGAAAGAGTTTGGGGTTTGTGGCCAACAGCAGCAACACTCCCAGGAGCAGACTTCTCCCTAGTTCCCCTCCTGCTGTTCTCTGAGTCTCCAGGAGACCTACCTGTCCCTCAGGCATGGAAAAAGCCAAGCTCAGTCACACAAACAAATGGATCACTCCCCGTGCCTTCAGCCAAAGGACTGGCTGAAGTTCGTGGAACGTTTGTTCTAGCTGAGGGGATGCTGCTGACAGGAGAAATTCAACGGGTCCCTTCAGCCCCATGGTGAGAGGAAAAACGTCCCCAGAGAAAAACAATAACATTCATCTTGCAAAAAAACCCTTTTTAAAATATCCTTGCTCAAAACAAAACAAATAAAATCCTTGCTCAGGCTCAGAGACCCAGATCCCAGTATGTCAGATTCACGTTAACAGAATCCCACTTATAATGACAAAATTCTGTTTCTAGAGATGTCCAATGGTCAAGGAGGGCTTTAGCCTTACCTGGAATGTTTAATTGTTATTATTGTGTTGTAGTTGCTTAATTATTTTTAAAGCAGAATATATTCCTGTATTACTTGGATCATAAAATGCTACCATTTTTTTAAAGTCTCAATATAAAATATCAGGTCATAACTTTTGAGATTTGTTTAAAGTTCTAAACAAAATATCCAATTACATAGGTCACAGGACTTTCTCTCTCTCTCGATCTCGCTCTTACTCTATTTTTTCTAACTCCAGAAACAGACCTAGACTCCAGTGTCCCTGTCTTCCATATTCGGTCACATTCTAAAGATAGGGCTTCCATAGACACCTCTGCCTGACCTTCTTGCTTCTACTTCTACACTCACCTCCTTGCAGCTCTGTTGCAGTACCAGCTAGAGTTATGCTTTATCTTAAAACATTAATCAAACCCCATCACCCGAAAACAATGGTCTTTAGATGGCCTACTGGCCCTATATGATCTAGCCCCTGGCTATCTCACTGCTTCCTTCATTCCATCCCAGCCCCAGCAGCCTCATGTTGCTGGAACACACCAAGCATATTTCCACCACAAGGCTTTTGCACTTGCTGATCCCTCTGCCTGGAAGGCACTTACCCCACATATCTGCAGGGCTTGTTTCTTCCTTTTCTTCAAATCTCTGATCTACAGTTATCAGAGGCCTATGGATCACCCTATCTAAAATAGTGATCTCCCGGGCGCCTGGGTGGCTCACTTGGTTAAGCGATTACCTTCGGCTCAGGTCATGATCCTGGAGTCCCTGGATCGAGTCCCGCATCGGGCTCCCTGCTCGGCAGGGAGTCTGCTTCTCCCTCTGACCCTAACCCCTCTCATATGCTCTCTCTCATTCTCTCTCTCTCAAATAAATAATCTTTAAAAAATAAAATTAAATAAAGTTAAAATAAAATAAAATAGCAATCTCCCATCATTCCCATCCCCTTACTATTTTTCCCCCCTAGGGAGACATTATCTGTGTGTTATTTATATGTATATATAAATATATCTTAACACGTAAATAAAACATAAAATATATAAATATATAAATATACATATATATTTTTTCTCCCCCTGGTGTCTAGCTCCCCTTTTCAAATGTAAACTCCAAATGGGTGACACTTGTCACTTTCAACCTTGCAACTACAAAGCTAAGAACAGTGTTCAGTTGTAGTAAGCCCTCAACAAATAAGGGGCAGAGCCAATATCCACGGGACCTTTTCAGCCCATTTATTTAGCTGCTATGCACCCACGGAACCAATATGATTTTTTTTTTTTTTTTTTTTTTTGGCATTTGCAGAACCTCTTAATAACTAACATTATTACATGCCAGGCCTTGTGCTAGGGGGCTCTACTTCATTACAGTACCTAATGAAAATGCATCATTACTTTCTACCTATGTATCCCAAGGCCTATCATCTAACATACAGCGTAGGTGGAAGTGCCTTGAAAACTATAAAACATTACATAAATGTTATCTTATTAAATCCACACTGGGTCAAGCACAGGTACTTTACCTTTCATCTCCACCACTTTCTAGTTGCACGACCTCAAGCATTACTTTGAACCTCTCTGAACCGCTATTCTAGTCAGTGAAGTGGGAGTAAGGACAAGAAAATAACAACAATTAGTGACTTACATGCCTACATTTCCCACACCCCAAGCGCTTTGCATGTATTAACTTACTTAGTTCTCATAACAACCCTATGTGGTAGATACTATTATTAAGTACTTTGCCCAGGGTCATGAAGTTAGTAGGTACTGGAGCCCAGATCACACCTGTGCTAGGCTGCTGTCCTTGGCATTGTAGCAAGGATGCCGAGATCATTCGTGTAATAAAGCTTTGTACCTGTTAAACATTATTACGCTTGGTGTCACTGTATACCATGTATTTTGGTCATGCCTCCATCAGTACAGAGTGCCTTGATGTGCCTTCTCTGCTGGATTTTAAGCTTTGTGAAAGTAGAGATTTCAGCTTTATCTCTGAACCCCCAACATCTAGCACAAAGGAGGTGTTCAGTAAGTCTCACGAATGTTAAATGACCATTTCATCTCTGTGACTCCCACACCTTGCACAGCACCTGGCACACTGTAAGCACCGAACAGGTACTCAGTGAATAAATTCTAGGAAAAGACGTAAATGTACACGGATAAAGATCAAGTGAAATCTGAATCACTGAATTTAGGGGTCTTTGTATTTTTTTTTCCGTAAAGTTGTCTGGTTCGAGAGGCAATATGAAATAGTGGAAGGAGCTCCAGTGACAGGCAGAGGCCTTGGGCTCAAATCTGGGGTACGCTACCACTCCTAATCCTGACCAAGCCCCTTCCCTCCTAGGGGCTTTTCTTCCCTAAGCTTCTTATCTGCACAGGGGCTCCAACACCGTCCGAGTCTAAGTGCCCATAGACAAACTGCTTGGAAAAGCCCTTCACGCGAGAACCCATCATTCTTCCTTATTCTGCGCAGGACGGAGAGCTAGGTTGCCAGGCAACCGAGGCTGGGGGCGGGGTCGCAGGGTGAAGGGCGGGGTCGCAGGGGCGCAGCCGCGGAGATCCGGGGGACTCGGCGGACCCGGACTCCGTGCGGTGGGAACGGTTACCTTGCCCGCTTGGGTGGCGGCTGCCAGGCACGGGTGAGTCCCGTCGTAGCGCCCTATGGCCACCATGCGGGGGCTGATTTTGTGGCGCAGTTTCAGGGTGAACACAGGCAGCAGCATGATGGCGGCGGCTCAGGGGAAGAGGGCTCGGGGCCGGAGGCCTGTGCAGCGGAGCCGGCCTCACCCGCCGCGGTGCAGAGCTCCGGGACCCGCTCCTTCAAGCCTGGCGCGAACGGCGCGGGATCCAGGGCCCCCCCCACACACACCCCGCGACCCCCCCCCCCGCTCTTTCTGCGGCTGCGCAGGCCCACCTAGCCTCTTCTGCGGCTGCGCGGGCTCCGCCCCGGGTCCTTCTGCGGCTGCGTGGTTGGGCCTCGCGCCTGGCTGAGACTAAAGTTTCTCTCTGGTCGAGTCGCGTGTTTTGCTGCTGTAATTTTACCTCGCCCTAGTCCCCTGTAAGAACATGTCTGAGCCGTTGCACTCCGGGACTTTTCCTAGCACCACAACCAGGCTGCACCCCTGCAGATTCCACACACAAGTACCTCAGTCCCAAAGGGAAGTTGAGGAAAGGTATCTTGAATGCTTGCTCTGCCTTTTGATTTAGCTGTTAGTCGGGGCAAACCACAGTAGTTACCTGCACTAAGTATACCAATCCTTCCAGGATAAATAAAAATAGTGCATCAGACTCATATTTAAGTAGTCCAGCCGCCCCTTGTAAAATTCCTTATATATCTTTAAATGAAAATATACAAAATTGAAAAGTCACAAAACTTCCCAACATTCATTTAAATATACTATGTGTTAGGCACTGTTCTAGAGAATAGAGGTTTAGCAGTAAACATACTAGTTTACTGCTCTGCTGGAGCTCTCCTGGCACCAACTTACTAGTCAGCAGAGACAAGCACTAAACAAGAAATACATGCAGTAGGTCATTTGGTGATGAGAACCATAAAGTTAAAGGAGGGAAGAGGAGTAGAGGATTGGAGGGAGTGCAGTACTACATAGGATGGTAGGGGAGAGACCTCAAGTGACATTTAGCTAAGGACTTGAAAGTGAAAGAGCCAGTCTTGGGGAAGAATGTTTCAGCAGGTGCAAAGGCCCTGAGCACTCCGTTTGAGTGCCTTCTAGAAATAGACATTTAGAAGTGAGGAATGAGATGAGTAGGAACCAACAGAGGAGACTGAGAAGGAGCAGCCATCGAGGAAGTAGGACCAGGCGGTATAGTGTTCTGGAAGCCGAGTGAAGACAGGGAGAAGGAAAATAACTGTGTCAGATGCTGTAGGTAGGTCTTAAAAGATGAGTTCTAGAATATTCTTGTTACCCTTGGATTCTGTAATCACAGCTGTACAAATGAGCATCTTTCATAAAGCCTACTGTTGTGTCTGACTAGTTGTAACCTCCTTTGGAGATCATGTCAAAAGACTAAATTTGAGGGCCTTGATGGAATGTAAGACCTGAGACAATGGCCCTCTGCAGCCCCTCTGATAGGCCTTGCTTCTGAGTCCCACCAGCCCCTTTCTGCCCCACCACCTCCTCTGTCACCCGTCAAGACACCACAGTTCGTAGCAGTTCCCCAACCAGCCTCATAATAGAAATTGCCCTGGCTTGTACCCCTGCCCTCATCCATCAGAACTTAATTTGCTTTGTGAAGTATCCTTCCCCTCTACCCCCAGAGTCTACCTCTACAAAGTTGTCAGCAAACTGAATCCACTTTGCTAATAGCTGATCTTTCCCACGAACAGCTTGAAAGGAATGAATCTCTAACAGATCATTTCGGGCCATCAGTTTTCGGACAGTCTCCATATGCCGGGCAGTGTTCAAGGACCTATGAAAACAGCGGTGGACAAAAAATGTGTAATTGGTGCCCCTGTGGAGTTTACAACCTAGAGGAGGTAAGGAGCAACAAACATTACACATGAAAGCAAATAAGATCATTTTATCTGGTCATAAGGCTGATATGCTCGATGAGGCTCAGGAAAAGTCTGTCTGAAGAAATTTGAACTAAGATCTTGATGATAAGAAAGCAGCTTCCATTAGAAGATGTGGGGGAAAGGCTTTCCAGAGAGAGGCAACAGTAAAGGGAAAGGCCCAGGTTAGGTATGTTCCAAGATCAGAAAGAAGATAACGTGACTGAAACCTAGTGAATGAGAAAGAGGTCACATCACCTCAGGCTGTGAACCACACCAAGGAGCTTGAGTTTTACTCTTTTTTTTTTTTTTTAAAGATTTTATTTATTTATTCATGAGAGACAGAGAGAGAGAGAGAAGCAGGCTCCCAAGGAGCAAGGAGCCCGATGTGGGACTCGATCCCAGGACCCTGGGATCATGACCTGAGCTGAAGGCAGACGCTTAACCATCTGAGCCACCCAGGCGCCCGAGTTTTACTCTTTAGCGGCAGACAAGTGCATGGCTTACTGGATTTCCATGTAAAGTTGGATTTCCACCCAGTAAAGCCTCACTCACTCGATGGACTGCCTTGGTGGCCTCCTATTGCAATCAGCAGCAGCAGCATCACTAGCATTTATATCACTAACGTTTCATTTTCTACATGCCACCATTTCTAAGTACTTCATGTGGATGGCTCACTTAATCCTGTAATAACCCTGTGAGGCAGGTGCTATTGTTAGCCCATTCTACAGATGACAAAACTTTTCCACTGTCACCTCCTCCTTTCATGACTCCTCATTGGTGCCCCAGTTTCAACCAAAGAAAGTTCAAGCACTTTGACAACTTATAGAGATCAAATTCTGATCACCACTGGCCTCTGCAAGCCTCCTCTTCTGCCACCTCTTTCTTGCCTCAAACTCGATCCCTTCTTCGATGCTGTCTCTAGTTTCCCTGCCTTTGCTCACATTGGCCCTCTGCCTAGAATGTCCTTCTGTCACTTCATAACTCCCACCCATCTTTGAAGACAGATTGGACGTCACCACTCCAGACAGTCATGTCTGCGCTCATATTTAGGAGGTAGCCACCCTTTCGTGGGTCCCCTGGCAATCACATCATTTGCCATATTGGAGTTTTTGAGTCTTTGGATCATAATCCTAGTTAGGATCAGCAAGGATCCCCAGAAGGGTAGATAATCCCCATCCTCCTTGACAAGCACTGATCAGAGCAGGGGACTTGGGAAGGTTCTCCTCTAAGGAGAAAGGAACAACAGCCAAGAGAGGCTGGCCCAGAGATGGCTCTCCCTCTACCAACAATTGCAGAGTCTTCTTTACCTCTGATGACTTCCCCCTCAAGAATCACTGGCTCTTCAGAGGGGACAGCTGTCATCTTCACGTCAGTGAGACCTGGGGCTCCTGAGGACCCAGGACTTGTGGGAAGTTGCTGGTGGGCTCTAGGCTGGCAACACTATCTAGAGGGTGAACCCACAAGTGTCCAAGTATGAAGTCCTGAGCTCAAATCCCCCCTCCATCAGTCACTCGCTGAGGCTCAAGCCCATCATTTAATCCTAAGACTCATATGTATTGAATGTCTTCTCTGTGCCAGGCATTTGACACACACACTTACTTGCTTAATCCTCACAGCCACCATCTGAGGCAGATTCTATCATCATCCCCATTTTACAAGAATGGAAACAGTCACAGCAGGTTGGATCACCCAAGCCTGAGAACACACGGCTGGTAAGTGGCAGAACCAGGATGGCACACCCAGGTGGTCTGCCTCCAGGCCTTGAGCTATGAACCGCCCCACGTACTATAGTGTCTCCTGCAATGAACTTCCTGAGAGCCAGCGTCCTCTTCTAGAAAAGAGAAATATCTGGAATACTACTTCTGGGGAGTATTATGATAATTATACAAATTAATATAAGTAAAACAATGCCCTGCCTTAATAAGGGCTCCCATAAATGGTTATTATGATTATTATGAGCTTTTTATGATTCTGTCTTGGTGAGAAGGCTACCTTTGACTTGTTAGGATTGTTATTGTAATAAATTTGGTGTCTTTTTTTACTTTTTTTTCCTCTTCTTTTTTTTTTTTTTTTTAGCAAGTAGCATTGTTTCTGGTTCTCTCTCAGCCCCAGGGTGGGGAAAAACACCCACCTAGCTAGACAAGGTCTGGTGGGAACTAGGTGAGACCCGGCTTGGAATGCTGATTTCCCTGGGCCACCCCTGCCCCTCCCCCACCCCCGTGTCCTCACCTCGCTGTGTGAAGCAGTCCCACTAGAGGGTGTGCAGGTGTAAAGAACGGAGGTTCCTGCACCGCAGGACTCTGGATTACAGGCCTGGTGAGAGGGCCCCTCTAGACAGAAGGCCTCCAACTGTCAGTCATGGGGTTCACTTCTGGAGAGTGGACTGGGACAGGGGGCCAGCCGCAGGAGGACTTTGACTTTTCTTTTGTGCGCTGTGGTGTCTGCTGTTCTCACAGCAAGATTGTACTTTTGTAATAAACATACACACACACTGTAAAATAAAGTAGTGTGCAGGGCGCCTGGGTGGCTCAGTCAGTTGTGTGTCTGCCTTCGGCTCTGGTCGTGATCTCAGGGTCCTGGGATCGAGCCCCAGGTCAGGCTTTCTGCTCAGCTGGGAGTCAGCTTCTCCCTCTCCCACTGCCCCTCCCCCCACCCCTGCTTGTGCGCGCGCTCTCTCTCAAATAAATAAATAAGTAAAATCTTTTAAAGAAAATAAAGTGGTGGGCGCCTGGGTGGCTCAGTTGGTTAAGCGACTGCCTTCGGCTCAGGTCATGATCCTGGAGTCCCGGGATCGAGTCCCGCATCGGGCTCCCTGCTCAGCAGGGAGTCTGCTTCTCCCTCTGACCCTCCTCCCTCTCATGCTCTCTGTCTCTCATTCTCTCTCTCTCAAATAAATAAATAAAATCTTTAACAAAAAAAAAATAAAGTGGTGTGGACGTGGAGGATGTCTGTGAATTTCAGAGATCCAGATCCACAGCCCCTCCCCACCCTGTTGCCCCAGAACCTGCTTATAAAGGACCCCAGTCTTAAGTTTCCCCAGAATTATGGGAGTGGCCATTAGGATCTCTCCCCAGCGCACAGAGGGGCAGGGGCCAGAGACCACTGGAGCAAAGCAGGTAGCACGGGGTCCGGCTCTGTGAGAACACTTCACGAGCAGCCTTTCCAGGGGTCCCCTCCTGCAACCCTTCATCGCCTGACCCCCATCACCTGGCTCCGGGTTGGGTCTGCTGTGGGCCGTGGGGGTGAGGCTGTCTGTCTGGGTGTCCTGTTAGCCCATTTGACACTTGTGAGCAGTGAGGAAGTGAAGAATCATATTTCAGGCCACTTACTTAGCAGCACGTTACATATAAAAAACCAGAAACTGCTCCTTCTGGAAGGTAGACAGGAGAAAATGTACCGCTGCTACTACTCGTAATAATAGTAGAAGCTAACACGTGTTGAGCACCTACTATGTACCAGACTGCTAAATTCCTTACTTGTATTATTATGTGGCTTAATCCTCACAGTAAGCCTATGAGATAGGTAATATTATCCCCATTTTACAGATGCAGAAACTAATTTCAACTCCAATTTTCTTCTACCCTGCCCCCCACCACCGACACATGTCCCCTAACTGGTAGGAAACCTGGTAAACACCATCTTAACCAGGTGATCAAGATGGATAACGAGGTAAAGTCATGTTATCATGCCAGGCATTTCACCTCTGTGGTACTTTCCCCTAAAACCCATAAGCCTTGTCTGATCATGAGAAAACAAGAGATAAACCCAAAATGAGAGATAGTCTACAAAATACCTGGCCAGTATGCCTCAAAACTGCCGAGATGATGAAAAGCAAAGAAAAACTAAGACACTGTCACAGAATGGACGAGATTCAGGACACACGATTAGGAAACACAATCCTGGATTGGATCTTGGAAGAGAAAAAGAACAGTGAGAAAACCGGGGAAGTCTGACTAGAGTTTATAGTTTGGGTGGTAATGTTGTACCAATGTCAATGTCGTGCTTTTGACAGACATACTGTGATTATGTAAGATGGTACCAACCGGGGGAGCTGGATGAAGAGTCTGCAGGAAGTCTCGCATAGTGCTAGGATTCGGGATGGTCCAGGGGGGTCGGATTGACTATAAAGGGGCACAAGAGAATTTTTGGGGATGATAGGAATGTTAAATATTTTAATTGTGGTGGTGGTTACATAGATGTATATATCTGTCAAAACTCATCAAACTGTACATTTTAAATAATTTTATTGTATGTAAATTATGCCTCTAGGAAGTAGATTTTTTAAAAAAAATTTAAATCTAAATTGAAATTGAAATTTTAAGAAATTTATCAATTTTTAAGTTACATACATAAAATTCTTCAATGGCTTCCCATTACACAATAAGTAAAATCCAAAATCCTAACTTGGCCTACAGAGCTCTGGTGTCTGTGAACCATCCCAACACACCAAGTGTGACCTCACCTCAGGTCCTTTGCACTTGGAGCTCCCTCCACCTAGAATGCTCTGCCCCCAGATCTTGTCAAGTCTGGCTCCCATACGTCAGTTAGGTCTCAGCTCAATACCTCTCTCCTCGGAGAGGCCTGCCCTGCGGCCCAGCTCTCTCGGTGTCTCCCAGGCTGCTTGATTTTCTTCAAAGTGTTTATCTCTTTCTGAGAATATCTTATTTATTTATTTTTTGACTTGTTTGTTGTCTGGCTCTCCACACACAAATGCAAGCTCTGCAAGTGTCTTGGCCACTTCGGATAGAGAAGCCCCATAACTAGCAGCTCCCCACACCCCCACCTAAAGAGAGAGAGAGAGAGGTAGAAGTCAGGCAGGCAGAAGCAGAAATAGGATTTTAGCCCTCGTAAGAACTGATCATGGAGAATGTGACTTCTATTTGCTGAGAAAACGAACTTCCTCATCCTGAATGCCTGAATCAGAGATTTGTCCATCACTGGAGAACCATAGGCCAAGTCCTGGGTCAGGCTCCTTTCATCACACGTCAAGGAGTAAAGCAGGCCACCTCTTCAGAGGAGGCTGAGGTGCTAGCCCAGGAATAAGAGCCGGGCAGCCGGGGTGAAAGACACCAGGACTGTTCTGCAACATTCTTGTTCTTTCCACAAGAAACATCCCAGCCTAACATCATCCAAGCACCTTCAGCAGTTCCTGGCACCTAGTGGGCGCTCTTGAAATATCTGGTGCGTGAATGATGGTCTGATTCAAATAAATCAATACCACATTGTATATACCTGTTCAGCAGGACCTACTACAGCACCTTACAGTCTTTTCCACCTGGAATGCTCCGCCCCCAGATCTTGTCAAGCCTGGCTCCCGTGTGTCAATTAGATGTCAGCTCAATGGCCCCCTCCTCAGAGAGGCCTACCCTGAGTCCCAGGCTCACCCTCTCTCATTACCCAGCTTTATCTCTCTCACCTTGTGGTATTGGCCTGCATAACTTCTCCCCACTGACAAATTCAAAAGAGATTGTATGGTTTTGTACTAATACACAGTGAGAAGGGATGCCTCTTTCTTTTTCTTGTTTTGCACCATGACACCCACAAGACCATGCCTGAGATTCTGGGCATGATTCCGAATATGATTCTGGGTGAGCCAGAGACTCCCAGAGAGAAGGGAAGCTATGGGGAATTGATTACCATTTGCACACAGATGAGGAGTAGGCCTTTTTTTTTTTTATAACAACAATAAAGCAATGCTGTGCATCACACTTTCAGTTATATAAAGTCCTATTCAGTAAGTTATATTTGAAGACTCTTTAGGAAAATAAAGAAAAGATTTGGTCTAGCATGATTCAAATATAATAGCCTTGCCAAACAATTCACTCAAAGAAATACATTTCGATTAATTTTTCTTGATGTTCTTTCCAACCTTCTCTGGCTTGAAGGATCAGCTTCTGATTCTGAAATACCTATGTAACTTACGTAAATTGTGACTTTTTTCTTTTTAATCTACAAATCTACTCATGACTAATGAAAAACTCCTCCTGCTTCCATCAACACCTGCCAAGCCCATGGTGGTAAATGGTGGTCATCAGAAGGCGTAACCAGGGGACACCTGGGTAGCTCGGTCAGTTGGGCATCTGCCTTCGGCTTGGTCCTGGGATCGGGTCCTGCGTCAGGCTCCTTGCTCAGCGGGGAGTCTGCTTCTCCCTTTGCCTGCCCTGCCTGCTGCTCCCCCTGCTTGTGCTCTCTCTCTCTCTGACAAATAAATAAATAAATTAAAAAAAAAAAAAAAAAAAAAGGCGTAACCAGAGGTGTGCTGACAGCGACAAGCTTCTCTGCCAGGGCAACAAGGACTGGGAGCCTTCGAATGATTTTGAAATTAAAGGAGGCCACAGAACCCAACAGGTAACCCAAGAGGTTAGCCCAGCACCCAAGGAGCAGAGAAACCGGCTCCCAGCCCAGCCTGCCAACAGGGTGCAGATCAAAGCTGATCACTGGAGTCTGTTCCAGTTTCCAAGTAGTGTGCTCTTTATAGCCCCCTGGAGCCATACCTGGGTGTGGGCAGCATCAGACGCTGGCTGAGGCTTGACTCAGCTTTAGTAATTACCCATTTGGGTGGGAAGCCAATGGCTGGGGCACCTGCTCTGGAAGTTTGAGTTTTTCTACCTTGGTATAAATTCTTACATCTGAAAGCACTGTGCAGCTTTGGAGATGTGAGCTTCATATCTTCAGGGGGCAGAGCAGGCTAAAGAAATTGCAATCCCGTTTC